AATGTTGGGGCATGCTGAAGGCCCACAATATCCTGTGTAAAGATCATTGACTTGAACAAATATTTCCAATGAGATACAAAGATATGAAGAATGAAAATGGTGAAACAATAACAGTCAATCTGACTACACATAATTGCTTCGTTCATCAGGCAGTTGCATTAGAATCTTGTTGTTGAACAAATATATACTCATCAAGTATGGTTTCAAATACAATCTTCTTAAACCATATATTACATGACAGTGTGTTAAACTACATCATGAACAAAGATGGTCCCTTTGTAGACCATTCAATCCAAGGATCAGTTCCTCGAGACCTCGAAATCTGAATTTGGCCTTTTGTGTGTCGGTGATAATTGAAAACATTTCTTTGAGATTCCTGTCATTTAGTTTCAACCATACTGTTGAGGTTACGAAGCTGTTTTTCACATCAGTTTTGTTTAATTGATGACATTGAAGAGAGAAGCTCATGTATATTGCTCTTTCCCGATTGTTACTGGGGTTATCATTGCCAGCTAGACTAAACCGAGTTTTCATCTATTTGGTTTATCATGTGCGTTTCATCCCCAGCATAAAGAATTCTATGGATGTCTTTCCATACATGGCTCTTATAGTGGGTGTGTTTCTAATTCCTACAACGCTCATTATAGAAGAAAACATGATCAGTATTACACTTGCCCTTGCCCGAGATGATATCTAAATCAATTAGTGTCTCCTATTCAATTCGAAACCAGCACATTTTGTGAATTTGACCAACTTTTTGGTCATACCAGTATTTCACTTGTATTCCCATTGAGTTTTATTCTCAAATGGTCTTGTGACATCATACAAAAACTTTGAACACCATGCAAAGAGCAGAAGCCACATGAGATGATGAATGTATTGACAAATGTTTTATGAACCAGCTATTCTGATGTTGAACTAATGTTGCGATCATATGGTTTCCATTTATTGATCCAAGATGAAGTTTGTCTTCTTCAACCTCAAGGATAGAAGTGAGATATGATGAAGATTTCGTTCCACAGAAAGAGAGCTGAAATTTTAACAAACAAGAAACTAAGGCTGAACTATAGGTTGTTGTTAAGCATCTCGACATGTTATAGTCCAAGTTGCCTTATTCAAGATTTGATTTAAATGTGGGGACATGAAAGGAATTGAGATAAATTCTCCTTGTGATGTGTTTCAAGAGTTAAATTAGAACATACTCTACTCTCCTAATTAATCCCTGCTGAGTCAGACATATCTACATCTACACTCTTCAAAGATGATAGATTCTCTTTTCAAAGATGATAGATTCCCTTTTTAAAGATGACAATTTCTCTTTTCAAAGATGAAAGCTTTATCGGGTTTCTGCACAACTCCAAGCAAAGAAAGTTGGTTTTATCCAAGACAAAATGGGGCATCAATGTCATAATTCTGACTACAGCAAGAGTTCCACAAATGAAACATTTCTTCTGAGACTTTCATGAAGCAAAGAAGACAGCAAAGATACAAGTTGATCAGATGATTCTACAGAAATGTAAGCTTGATAGCATAAATTGCTACACTGACATCCAGAGGTAACCCTGGCAATAAATGATGAACTAGAGGAAGACCAAGTTCACCACTTTGAAGACAAATAAAGATTGTATCAGCATTCATGCATTCATAAGAATATCATTTACACAAAAGACAATGCATTACATTGATACATCTGAGTGCATTCAATCTTTTCTAAAATGAAATTGTTGAAAAGTAAGAAAACGATTTCCTTAGTTTTTTACTTAGTAAACTATTTCCCACATCTGTAAGTCCTTCAGTGCATGATGTTTCCAAAAAGCCTTCGGGAGCTTTTTGATGTTTTCAAAGCCTTAGGGTCATCTGTAAGTCCTTCAGTGCATGATGTTTCCAAAAAGCCTTCGGGAGCTTTTTGATGTTTTCAAAGCCTTAGGGTCATCTGTAAGTCCTTCAGTGCATGATGTTTCCAAAAAGCCTTCGGGAGCTTTTTGATGTTTTCAAAGCCTTAGGGTCATCTGTAAGTCCTTCAATGCATGATGTTTCCAAAAAGCCTTCGGGAGCTTTTTGATGTTTTCAAAGCCTTAGGGTCATATGTAAGTCCTTCAGTGCATGATGTTTCCAAAAAGCCTTCGGGAGCTTTTTGATGTTTTCAAAGCCTTAGGGTCATCTGTAAGTCCTTCAGTGCATGATGTTTCCAAAAAGCCTTCGGGAGCTTTTTGATGTTTTCAAAGCCTCAGGGTCATCTGTAAGTCCTTCAGTGCATGATGTTTCCAAAAAGCCTTCGGGAGCTTTTTGATGTTTTCAAAGCCTTAGGGTTATCTGTAAGTCCTTCAGTGCATGATGTTTCCAAAAAGCCTTCGGGATCTTTTTGATGTTTTCAAAGCCTTAAGGTCATCTGTAAGTCCTTCAGTGCATGATGTTTCCAAAAAGCCTTCGGGAGCTTTTTGATGTTTTCAAAGCATTAGGGTCATCTGTAAGTCCTTCAGTGCATGATGTTTCCAAAAAGCCTTCGGGAGCTTTTTGATGTTTTCAAAGCCTTCGGGTCATCTGTAAGCCCTTCAGTGCATGATGTTTTCAAACATTTCCATCATGCTCAAAAGAAGCCAAATGAAAAAATTATTGTCCTTTTCGTCTTTGCTCTATTCTTGTTAACACAAGGATGAGCAAAGAGGGGCAGCTGTAGACATCATTTTTTTCATTTAAATTTTATTATTATTATTAAATTTATTATTACTAAATATTATTATTATTAATATATATATATATATATATATATATATATATATATATATATATATATATATATATTACAAGCCCAAAGGACCCGGAGGCCCGTTTTACAAATATGGAGGCCCGGTTATCAAATCCCAAACCCAAATGGAAACCCTGAATTGATTTAGGGTTTCAGTTAGGGTTTTCAAACCCTAGCCCCCAGCCGCCTCCAAGATTCTAGAAGGCCAGCCGCCGTCAACATCATCAGCCGTTGGATCTGGCAAGATCCAACGGCCCAAAAGGGTTCCAGATTGAAAACCCTAGGGTTTCTAACCCTAGCAGCCAACCGTTTCCAGATGCTTCCAGCCGCCTCTGATGATTCCAGGTGGTCCAACAGCTGCTGCCGACACTCCAGAACGTCACGAAGTAACCCACGTCGAGCCCTATGGTGAGTCACCACCATAGCTATGGTGACTCACCGGGCCTTTTATCCTTTGGACCGGTCTGAAGCCATCACCGGTGGTGGCTATAAAAGCCACCGTCCTCTGCAAGAAAAAAAGAGAGGAGGAAGCCACGAGAGAAGAGATACACAGAGAACAAGAGAGGACAACCAGCAAACGGGAGACAACAACACCAACAGCAAGCAATCCAACCACCATCAAACACCAAAATAACGAGATAAAAATCGAAAGAAACCTTACATAAGAAAGCCACACCACCACCGGAGTAACCACGCGCCTCCACGCTCCACAACAAACCTTCGAAAACCGAAGGTATTTTTATAGATTTGCTCCGATTGAGAGCTTTTTAAGGTAAACAAATACCGAAATCGTCATTAGGACGATCCGATCTATGTTGTGGTATAAAGTTTTATTTTCAGGCCACCGGAGGCGGTGGCCGGCGGTGAGGTTGGCGATGGCTATCAGCGCCGGAATTCCCTCCGGTGAGGGAATTAAGAGAGAAGGAAGAGAGAGCTTCTTCTCTCGTTTTTGAGAGAAGAAGAAGAAGAGAACAAAGAGCTTCTTCCCGAACGACGTCGTTTTGGGAAAGGGTATATGCGTAATTTACATGTATGGCTAAACCCCTTCCGTAGCTATCTAAGTTTTGTAATTATTCATTTTAGTCACTAAAACTAATTTCTGAATGTTCTAATTCAGTATTCGAATTTTATTTTATTATGTTTTAGTCCTTACCAGTATTAAATAATATATTTAGGATAAATATCACATTTAGTCCCTAATAATTTTAATATTTCTATTTTAATCACCTATTAAATAATTAATGGCTAATTATACTACTAGTATTTATATTTTATGATAATTCTAACCATGTCTCTTAAATATTTATATTTTATAATTTGATCATTAAATTTTATATAATCTTAATTTTAACCATAAGTACTATTATTTTTACATTTTAGGTTCATATATTTATGAATATGATCCAATAGTTTTAATATTATTACTTTTGTTTTCTTTCATTTTAATTATTATTATTTTATTTTATTATTACTTTTGATATATGTTTAAATTATTATCTTCATGATTATTTATTATTATTATTAAGTTATATAAATATATAATATTTATTTATTTATTCTATTTGTTTATTAAATAAAAATCCTATTTATAAATTTAATTTTATAAATTACTTTTAAGAAAAATAAAACATATTTTGATATATATTTATTTTTTAATATCTAAGAAAAGAGTTGTCTTAAAATACCTAGAAGTCATTTTCTGATATTCTTAAATAAATAAATGTCATACTTTTATAAATTGTATATATTAATATATTTTTTAGATAAATGTTTTAATATTTATTTATTTTTTAATATCAAAGGAAAGAACTGTCTTAAAACACCTAGAAACTCTTTTCTGATATTTCTAAATAAATAAATATCTTATTAATAAATTTACTTAAAATTATATTAATAAATTTAAATTAAATATGTTTTGAATTTTTAATTTTTAATAATAGAGACAATTTATAATTAATAAAGTATCAATTTTGGACGTTGTAGGGGTGCTAATCATTCCCTAAACGTAACCGACCACGAATCCCTTTTTATTAATAAAAAGAATGAATTTTTGGTTAAACGCAGATCAGTTTATCTTTTAACTGATGTTTTCTTAAAAACTCTTTTAAAAGATAATTTTTAGGTATTCGACCTACCTGACTCAAAAGGCCGATGCCGACTCCCAAATTATTCTAAAAACCATTTATTCACATTACTTTTCCCGCCAAATAATAAATATTTCGTGCCCGGACGAAAACCGGTTACGACAACAACTTTCTAATGCACATTGGGAGAAAGATTCGAGTGGCCGGAATACGCATCGCCATCTCGTGCTCGAGTCATCTCCTCGTCTCGAGCCTCGACGACTACACAGCTAGAGTTAGTGCGTTAAAATCGATCTCAAACGATGCACGCTCGAGCAAATGGAAACCCGCAACAAACTTGTAGAACCATTTTCGATTCTGAAGAAAACTATACTTTGCAATGTTAACTGCAAAAGGAGCTTTTTCACCAAACAATAAAAGCTCACAACAGCAGCATTAGTTTTAGGCGAGCAGCAGCATACAACTATACAACATAAACACTTCACATACCATATTTCTCAGCCTTCACTAAAATATCCTTCGAGAAAGTCGATCATGATGCAACAACTGATTTCCAGTGCCTGATGAAGAAGCACTTGTTTCGCCTGCCATGTTCTTCAGTTTAAGAGGACTGCAGGTTGCTGAAGACCCAGACTCAGAGATGTCACCGATATCCAAAGTGTCGGGAAGCAATTCAGAAGATTCTACAGCGTGCATCTGGACAAGATCACAATCCACTATCCATGAATACCGAGAGAAGGCATATGTTTATCAAAATTAATCGACTAACTATAAAACATGACATACTCCAGAAATTATTTCCAACGAAACCAATCACCTTGAGAAACAAAACATTTTCTTTTACTTCTTTCTAAGCCTGGTTTATACAAATTAAACATTTTGACTCAGTCTAAACCTGTAGTAAACTACAGATAAGCTGAAGCAGACTGCATAAAGAATTTTCCATACAACAACCAAAAACCTGACCCACACTACCGCCTTAATCCGACCAATTAACAGAAATTATCAATGGGTTATGGAGTAAAGAAATGTTACAAACAAATTTACAGAACAAAATGACCTAATATACAACCCTCACGTTGGATATATTCAACCAACAGTGATGTGATTGTGAATAAAAACAACAGAAGCATGCACTGACATGTTTATGGCAAGAACCAAAAATTTGTACGAAAAATCAATCACATAAATCAAATAATTAGATCATATGAAAGCCGATGGAAAGATCTCTTTCACTTTCAGTAACCAGAAACACTGATGTGGTCAGAAGTTGCACAAAAGAAAAGACTTGAGCAAATGAAGAAGAAAACAATGGCTATGCCACAATGGGCCAGAAAGTGGAGTAAGATCCTAAACTCTTTGATCAGACAGTTATCAGTCAAATCCAAAAATATAAAATCACGTTAAATATGTCATTAGACAATAAATCAGATAAAATTTCATAAATTCAATTACTTCACTATTAGCACCCTTCATAGTGGAATAATCGGAGCTGTGCTTGAAGGAAAGGAGCTCAAACATTCATCCTCCCATGGCTTAAGAAAAGAAAAAGTAGAGGTAAAACTCAATTTGAAAAGGAATGAAGGAAAATAATCCAGCAACATCACTCTGACAATGATAATTATAATAACAAAATAAACATTAGGCAAAATTTACCTCAAGTTGGTTCAGTATGTCAACAGTGGCTTCAAAGTCCCCATCATTAGCCAAGTAGGCATCCATAAGAGACTCATTGGATAAATCAGGGAATGTCATGCGAAGATACTCCAAATCCATGTCAAATTCTTCATCCATAAACTGCTTGTCAATCATCTCACCTGGATTTTGCATCAAAAAACCACAACCAGGGTGGCTTTTCACGGCAGATCCTTCGGCAACCTGATGCTTTTTAGTACCATGGGCAACAGATTCGAGAGAAGCACCGCTATAATGCGGCTTATGTGCAAAGTGCAAGGAAGGTTCAAACCAAGCATTTTCATTGCTGTGTTTAGCTGTCACATTATCGTTGGCCTCCCTTTTGGCAAGAGGTATGTATGATGCTGCATAGGGATTCAATGAAGAAACTCCAGGCTTCATCGTCTTCATGGAAAACACTGGAAAAAAACACAAAAGAAACCCCGTTAGAGTATGAGGCACATCATTCATTTTCCAAGAATAACCCACAAGAATGGAAGTGTAATAAGAATTCAACCTATCAGCAAAGCACTATAATTAAAGGACATGACTACTGAAAGCTCCAAAGAACTAAAAACGAAGACGAGATTGTTCGCAAACTGCAATAAACAATGAATTTGGGTAACCTTTACTATAAGTCCCGGATATAAAGTAGTAAGCTACTGTTTACAGTATGTTAGGCATGAGTAACGAAAATCACAAGATTACTTTAACCAAAACAAAAATCAAATTTATCGATTAACAGGCTTCTGGTCACTCTCTCTCTCTCTCTCTCTATATATATATATATATATATCAATCAGCTCGATCATACGAATTTTTTTACAAAAGCTTTCGCGTGATGTAAAAACCAAAAAAAAAGTATTTTGGTCAAACTCTTGGGATTAAAAAATATATATAATCATCAAACAACTACATAGAGCATTAAAAAATTGATCAAGAAAGCAATCTAAGTAACCAAAATTGCCTTAAGCTTCTAGCTCTTCTCTTACGATCTCGAATTTAAAACGTCACGAAGATCAAGCAGAAAAAATGTCAAAACATCAAAAACCAAAGATCAGGCAGAAATTTTGAAAGAGAAATAAAGCCAAAAAATCGATAAAAAATACTGCTAGAGAAAACAAAGACTCCCCGTTGATATGATCGGAGAAGAAGGAAAACTGCAGTAGAAATTACCTGAATGTTCGGAGCGGTTGAAGATCGTCTGAGAAAAAAAAAAAGATGATTGAAGAGATCTGCGATTAAAATGGAAGGCAATAATAAAATGCTTTTTAACAAGGATGCCACTTGAAGACAAGTTGAAGGCAGTGACGTCCTCGTCTTGTTTGGAAACCGACTTAACATCAATCCGACGTCGGATATCGAATCCTTGAGTGGGAATATGCTTGAAACGAGTAACCCACCCGTCTATAAATGTTAGGATTAAATTTCAAATGGACCTTTAGGGAAAATACATATAGATCACTCAATTATCCATTCAATTATAAATGTGTGTTTTTTTAATAATGATTATAAGATATTATATTCGATATATGTAGACATATAGTTGTTAGAATTTTAGATTTCTAAGAAGAATACTATTTTCCTTAACTACACACTCCCCTCGATAAAATTGTTAGATACAAAGGATCATATTTATTAAATCATGAGTAAGTTACGTGTTTAATATCTAAACTATCAGTTTTTGTTTGTTCTAATATTTAAACCTTCAATTTTTTTTAAAATCATACCTAAACTTTAGTTTTTGTTTCATAAGTACATGCTGTTAAAAACTTTAGTTTTTGTTTCATTTTAGTTCACCGTTCAAAATTTAAAGTTACGTTTTGAAAAAATTGAAATTTTAGTTACTAAAACGGACAAAACTGATAGTTTAAGTACTAAAAACGTTAAATTTTTAATGGTGTGATACTAAAATGAAATGAAATCTAAATGTTAGGTATGATTTAAAAAAATGAAAGTTAGATACTAAAATGAACCAAAACTAATAGTTTAAGTACTCAATGCGTAGTTTACCCAAATTATATTATAAGAAGTGACCCATTTGTGACAGAGCTAATAATTGTGTGACCTTTAATATATTTTACCCTAAATTATGACCTTTTCAAAGCAAACATTTGACGTGGCGGGAGTTGTACGATAACATTACCCATTTGAGAAGGGTAAAGAAAATCCAAGGGGATGTGTTGAGCCAACTGTTGAGCTAAGAAGGAAAGCTGAGAGCTAATCTCAGTTAAAACTAAAATGGTGGTTCTTTCTCCTTCCGTTCTTCCCGTCCCAACTCTCCACTGCTTCAGGTTTTTCTTTTTTTTTTCTTCTTTCTCTTTATCTCTCCACTTGTTGGCTTTGCTTCTTAGTAACTTGGTTTATTAGTTTTCTCAGGCATGAACCAGGTAGTACTGGCAATGGAATGCTAAGCCATAAGAATAGTAATTACATCAGAAGATTCCATGAGAATATCACAGTGTGCTGCAGTTTTGCTTCAAAACCCACTTCTCAAAACGTGATATGGAGAAGGGATTTGCTGCTCTTTGCTCTTTCTTCTTCACTCTCCGCACATTTTCCATCTTCAGGTACATATTTATTCCTTTCATTTGTGAATTGTTGATGCAGGAAAAAATGGTGTTTGACCAGTTCACCTTATGTATGAAGCAAGGACAGTATGAAGCAGGGACGTTGGGGGTGAACTTATAAAATTTGGGGGGTGGGGGGAAGCGAACTTATAAAACTTTAAGGGTGAAAACAGATTATCAATATAAAATACACAAAAAATCTGAAGTTTAGGAGAATTTCAAAATTTCAAAGGACTGCCCTCATCTGCTCCCTCGGTCCATCCATGGTATGAATAATCCATGGCTTAGCTTAGCTTGGTTTTATTCCGAAGAAAGAGAAAAACAATTATTTAAATCTATTAAGCAATTGAAATGCTATATTTCTTGATTAAGCTGTCTCGCATGTCTTTCTATCGTCAGTGATGGAAAATTCTCATGATCGGTTATAATTAGATTATGCAACTTTCGTTTTGATTTTGATGAACTTGAGTTCACGCCTGTGGCCAAAGTAATTACATTGGTTAACTACGGAGAATAAATACATATCACGAAATAGTCATTATAGTGCTGAATTTGCAAAATATTAGGTGGGGCATCCCAGTTACGACTTGAGCTTGTCTAAAGGATTTTGAAGTTTGATTGAGTTTAAGCAGTTTATAATTCCCCCAAGACCAAACAGCATGCTTTAGAAACTGATATATGTACAGTGATTTCTTCACTGTAGCAATTTGTTTTGGTAAAGCCTTCTTCTCTGGTCTATGGAATGACCTTTTGTTTCTAGAAATTCACTGTACCCTTCCATGTAATGTTTATCTAGAGGATCACAAAGGGAACTTTTCTTTTCTTATTGTTCCTATACGAGACTTGACAATTCCCCACTGGAAACTACCAACTTCTTCAAGAATTGCCAAAGATGCATTGCATGCTATCTAGTTTTTCAAGAATTGCTATATCCACACTTTTTTCTTCTTCTCATTTTCTCTGAGTATTATGTTGGGCTTATTGCAGGATGTCTTGCTTCAGAAGATGTAAGAACGACTTCATTAGTTGATGAGATAAATTCTTATACCTATTCATACCCAGTGGAGCTTCCATCTAAGAAAATTTTTAAATGGTTGGTTTTCAGCATCAAAATTATGTGATATGACTTGCCACCTTTTTTATTTTATCTGATGTTATAATAACTTAGAAATTTGTTAAAAAACATGTTGACTACCTCTCCATCACTCTCATTCCTTCTGGAAAAAAGATCCCCTCATTTACTTGCTTTAGATCAATTGACGGTACATAAGCAGAGAACTGACCTTGTAGTATATTACACCTTAGGTGGATTCAAATTACATATTTGTTTTAAAGGTGTCATATAGTTCTTAGAGTCTATTACACCTTTCATATCACTTTTGGTTTTACTCGAGGAAGAGCAAACCAACTCTCTATTAATTTTTATCTATCAATGGCCTCAAATTGTTGGAACCTCACTAATTTTGCACTTTTCTGAAGGGTGGAATCTAGAAAGCCTGAACGCTATTCATCAGCAGCGCCGTTGTCTCATAAGCTTGATTCAATCCCATCACTTGAAAATGAAAAGTTCTGCCTGCTAAAGCATTTTAATCAGTATTACTTGTAGAATTTAAAGTTTTCTTGCAATAATTGTAAAACACGATTCGATTGTGGATGCAAACCATATGGACTAACTCTCTCATTTACACATAATGCATCTGATGCACGTCTACGCATAGTTACGTGTGGACATTGCCGATAATCTCATCATTTCTGTTTCGGTAATTTTATAGAACTGCAGTTCTTAAAAGAGATCACTATTAGTTAACTATTCAGTGTTTTATGAAATTTATTTCATCCTTTGATTCAGATAGGTCCCCCGAATATTCAGTTTTTGAAGTCAAAGGATAAGGAGACATGGGCAGCAAAAGATGTTGCTGATTCTGTATTGTCTGACAAATCTGCACTGGTAATTCAAATGATTTTCTTTTTTTGGCAACTAGTGCATTGTTCATATGTATAACTTACATTTTAAACTTTTTGCTCATTCACCCAAAATTTGGTCCCAAATATCCAATTAAGATTGGAATCTTTCTGATATGGAAATTTGCAAGAGAAACCATAAGCAACCTCAAAAAAATGTACAGGCTTTAAATAAAATGCATGTCTCCAAGGTGCATGTTTGAACATAGTGTGAACCATGCAATCAATTTATTTACATATATGTTCTTGGTATGAATATATATGTTTGAACATAGTCATTCTACATATCATGAAAACTTAACCCCACTAAGTTGATTCTTTGACATTCTACATTGTTTTGAAGCGTGTCACCTCGAGCCAGCGGATGAGTGAGAGTTCTGTTCTTGATGCGCATGCCAGCAAAGTAAGCTTTAAAGACCTTCCTTTAGTTTTTCCATTTCCATTTTTCATGGTTTATATGTGTTATATTTCTTTTCCCTTTTTCTCAGATTGACGGTGAGCTATATTGGTACTATGAGTACCTTGTTCGCAAATCACCAACTAAATCCGTAAGTGCTCCCTTTCTACAGTGACAATCAGTGCAAAGATGCATCATGCTTCCTTTTTTTTTGGAACGTCGATGCATTTCTTCAGGCTCAAGAAGCAAACCTATACAGACATTATGTTGCTTCAACCGCCGAACGAGAAGGTAGGATCATAAAAACTTCTGTTTGTTCCTCATTTTTCCGAAGTTGTAGTTGTTTTATGAATCCATTAAAATCTTTGCAACCCAGTTTGTGTTCTGATTTCTCATTAGTTCCAAAATCAAGTTCGAAACTTCCTTGGTAGAGCCATGATGCCCTACGATTTTAGAAAGAAAATAAACCACTTAATCCAATTTTTGAGGAACAAAACTCATCTGCCAGTATCTCCAACATAGTGAAGAGGAAGGAGAATATATACAAAGATGTCTCGTACATTTAAGCACAATATCCTTTGCTACTGTGGTTTCATAGTCGATAAATGAGACTTGAGGTAGTCTCTTCCAAGTGCTTCACGACATATCCGGCTTATGTATCTATACATGGGGCTTCTACATATCATCTTCCATTGCCATTCAACCATGCTAATGTCTATTGCAGGTTATCTATACTCTCTAAATGCTTCAACTCTTAGCAAGGAGTGGACTGAGGTCATCCTCTCTCTCTCTCTCTCTAACAATAACAAATGAAGAATGAATGAACACCGGTGAACTATTTCTAATAAAACGACATAATAACGAGAAAAATAAATGTATGAGATGGTCATGATAGAGTCTTTACGTGTGTGTATCATTCATCCAAAACTTACCAAGTGAATTTTGCATAATACAGATGGGCACCTTTTTGGAACGGACTGTTGCATCATTTCGCCTTCTTCCTCCCACTGATAATTATGTTCCTCCATACAAGGATCCATGGAGATTTTGGTGACAACCCCGTTTTTCCCTTTTTGTTTCTATTGATGTCGATAACAAGTGAAAATTTTTAAGGGTTTCAACACTCTGTTATCATTGATTCTCCTCTTCTTTTTTTTCCTCTTATTGCGGACCACATTTTGAAATTGAACTGAATGAAGTTCTGGTTAAACAAGTCATATGTTTCAAGCATGTACTAGAAAATAGCTAAGAAGCTAGTGTATTTACGTGTATAAAATGTGTTTTCTGTTTTCAAGACTGGTAGTTACACGAATGAAAGAAATTTGGCTTAAGGTGTTCACGAAGCCCTTAAACTTACAAAAAATAATAACTCCTTTTTTTTCATCCAATCGAAGTGTCGAGCCGAGAAAAGTAAATCAATTGAACTTTCGAATCGAGAAATTGAGTCAATTAAACCCATTGATCAATTTTGATGGTTAATTTTTTTTCAAAATCATACATAGCATTAGTTTTTGTTCAGTGTCCTGTTAAAAACTTAACCTTCAATTTTGAAAAAAAAAATAAAAGTTTAGATACTAAAACGGATCAAAACTGATAGTTTATGTATTAAACACGTAGTTTGTCCTAAAATTTAATATTTAGGGTCCTACAATCTTTCATCAAATTATAAGAAGCTGAGGAGGTTAAGGGTCGAGAAAATTCCAGAAAGGGTTTAAAAACCGCTAAACGTTTCTTTTTACCCTTGAAACAATGAAACTGCATCACTCTAATGAATTTTATATCTGTACAAAAGTTGAAGGTGCTGCAAATATAAACAAGCTCATTCCTCTCGAGCAAAGAATAAGAAAATGTAATTAAACATACATTTTTAAAGAGCAGCAGCCTTTGCCACAAAGTGCTACATATTTGGGTCAATAGTCTGCGTAGTCTGTCTTTGTAATATTTGTAAATGCATGTGAAGGGATATTTGAAGCAAAAGAAAAGGTGGATATTCATGTATAGTTGGGCGGCATAGGTATAGCAATGTACATTTTGTAAAGGTATACAACAATAATCTAATACGTATACAAGTATCATGAAGTCCATAACTCGATATTTATTTTTTCAGATGAAAATAAAATCAAGAAATGACCTCGGTCCTCATCAGATTTCTTCTTCTTCCGAAGAGTTTCGAGAGCTGCGAACACGTTCGTGTTATTGATCACCAACGATCCTTCGTCTCTCCCGCTTCCTCCTCCTACCATTTCTATCTAGTCACCCCCAATTAAACAACAACAAAAAGAAGTAGAATCGACAAATATATTTTGAATCTTTAACAAAAAAGACCCGGCGATTAAGAAGTTAAAAACGGGGTTCGCTTACAAACTATGTGAAGGAGGAAATGATCATTTAGGATTTGATAAAATCGAAAGCAATCAGATGCCGGGGGTCAGAGAGAAATGTTTGTTCCCCGGTAAAGAAAAATAGGCTTTGAAATGCAGCGTGTTTTGGCTGCAGAGAAGGAAGGGTAGGGGTTGAGCTCTTTCAGTAGAAACGGAGATAAGGATTTTATAGTAGAATCAGTGCGGCACCTTAAAACGACCTATAATAATAAAATCGGTAGAAATAATAACGTTTTCGATCATCTTTTACTAATTTTGTTATTTAAATAATGTCGACACCGTTTTTCGCCCGGGCGGGGAAAGACCGATACCGACTCAGGGTTTTCTTTTTGAAAATCGTTTCAAAATGTGAGGAGTCGCCACCAATCATTTAAGGTGAGATTGGAACACCGTAAAAACTGGGTGATTTTAATAAAATATTTTATTTTAATAAAATATCAAGTTTTGGGGTCTGCAAAAATCCAAAAATCAGGTTCGGGAGTCAGTTACGCGTGGGGAAGGATTAGCACCCCCACAAGCGCCCAAAAATTGGTACATAGTTGATTACCCTATATTTAAAATCGGAAACTTTGAGTTTGATCTTTATTTAATTTAAAAATCATTAAGGATGCAAAGTTTGAAAAGGGTATTCGTTTATTGAGACCGATAGCATTCGCCCCCGAGCGTAAATGCGGGAGATCAACTATTGTGTCTAATAACTGAACATTGTCTCGTTTTAAAAAAATGATGTGGTTTTGAAAATGATGATGACTTAATTAGGGAATTACCAGTAGTCACCCCCTGAGCACGATCGCGGAGGATATACTATTAACTCCTTAATAAGTGAACAGTTCCTTAAAGTTTAAAATAAAATGCAGTCAGACAAAATCTTATTCAATCCTAATTAATCTAAGATAAATTAAGGCCTTTTCTAACTTAAGGTATCAAATTATGATAATTAAAGAACCCAGGGCTTAAACCTAAAGATGTAGATTCTAATATTAATCCTAAAAATTATTAAATCAAATAACCGAGATGGTCCCTCGAGCGTTTACGCGAGGGCCAACTCGAATTATCCCCTAAATTAAAAGACTAGTTTGAAATCTAACCTAAAATGGAGGCTCTATTTAACATATTTAATTATGTCAATATTAAAAGTCTAATCGAAGTTTGGGGATAAAAAAAAATTAATGTCTAAAGTATCGAGTTATAAAAGACTTAAAAGAATAAGGACATAATTGCATTACAATGATTAAAATGCAAGAAAATAAAGATAGCCAAATCCAAAATTAAAATGAGACTAAAATGAATAATCGTAAAAAATAATGATTAAAATAAAATGAAGTGTAGATTAATATGCTTAAATACAAATACAAAAAATGTTGAAAATAATAAAAAGGGCTGAAATAAAATACAACACAAATAAAGGGCAGAAAGATAAAATTCTAGAATTTAAAGTGCTAGAAAAAAATAAAATAAATAAAGCAAGCATTTATATTCATAGTTATAAAAGACAATTCCACTTGCCAGCCTTTTCCATTCAACTTTTGTGTACAAGTAGTTTATTTATTCAATTTAATTAATGAAATCTCAATCCACTGGTAGCAGCTAATACGATAGCTTCCCTGCATTGCCCACCACTACTTGCTTTTATTAATGAATAATGTAATAAAGTTAAGAAGGATGGTGACTCTTCACATGCAAATATAGATTTATATATTAACACATGCACATAATAAAATGGAATAAAAGACATTTGTTATATATATATATATATATTATTTAAATATTATAACATATATTTATAATGGATATATATATTATTTAAATATTATAACATATATTTATAATGGATATGCACGTATATAAACTGTAGGACCTAAACAAAATAAAACAATAAGTAAGTTGCATATATAAAACATAAGGGAAATTAAATTTTAGAATTTTAAAGATTAAAGGACCAAAATAAAACAACACAAAGTTGATATTTCGAATTCAAAATGAAAATAGGAAATTAGTGACCAAAAAGTAAATAAACGGTAAAGATAAGGGGACCTAATGGAGATTTACCCTAACACCCTAACTAAAACATAAAACATGTTAAAAATGGATGGCCTGACACGCTGTTTACCCAAAATCAAAACAAAATGCTATTTCCTTCCCCAAACTGTGTTCTGCCCGAAAATAATTAAACTTCAACCGGCTCTCTCTTCTCCACTTCACCTCCCATGGCAGCCATTCACCAAGGAAATCGAAGCATCACTGACTCGGCCACCCTACTTACCGAGGAGCACCAGAAACTCCAGGTAATCTTTTCCCTCCTAATTTATTTTAGTATTTACTCGTAATAGCATAGAAAAAAAATAAAATCAGTATTGTAATACAAAAATTAAAAAAGTTTACCCTTTAATCTGCTTGTTTATTTCTCTGGAAAAATCTGAGAGAAAATCCTCCTCTGGTGATTACATGCATTTGGCTTTTATAGCCAATTTTACAATGCTTTTTCAGTTGATTATGCCTTGATTTTCGCAGGGAACAAGGGGTGATGGGGTTGGTGTTGAAAAAAATGAGATGATGGGTGTTGGTGTTGAAAAAAATGGGGTGTTAGGTGTTGAAAAATGGTGTTTACAAATAATAACAAAACCAATAGTATTTTTTTAACCGTATTTTAAGACTGTCACACATAAATATTTTCACGTAATTTTAGGCATAATAAAAAAATGCTATAAAAATTGTACCATTTTCCGCTGAACGCATTATTATTTTAAGTATCTAAATTGTTATTATCATTAAATAAATTAATAGGTTATTAAATTTATTAAATATATAAATAATCCCAATGTTTTTATTGAGTTAATATAATTGGCCTCTGAAGCGTGTTCATATTATTAATTAATTGTAAATAGAAATTGCTAGCTATCCGATTAAACATTTGATTATACAAAATTAGAATATTAGCACACAAACACACGCATATAACAATACTTTTTTTACTCTCAAACTCTTAAATTAAAGATAATTATATTCAAATATATTCAAATCCACGTTTCACGAAATTTACTAACCAAATTAAAACTCTATCATACAAAGTACCAGTAACGCTATATTTGATGAGATGGTTATTTTTCTCATGTTATGGTACATGAAATAATAATCTTTAACCACTTTACATGTCTTATTTTGAGCAAAGAGAATTATATTGCTTAGCTTGACTAGATTGCATTTTTATTTGAATTTTTACCAATTATCTAGTTCCGAGTTTAGATTTGTACTAATTTTTCGGAACGTTACGACCAACTAGTCATAACTATTTTTTTATAATTGATACCTGTGTAACCAAACATAGCAGGAATGTTAACATAAAAGAAAAACATACAGAGTGACCAGGTGTTAAAAAAACTAAGCCACATTTCTTACTTCTTTAGGTGAAACATACTTATCCCAAGGCAACTAAAGTGAACCTCTAAAGGTTGATATTATTGATAAGAGTGGCACATTGAGAGACATTCTGTCAAATAACACTCGCAATGAAAAGGGAACAGTTCAGCCATTTTCATTGTTCCCAATTCATTGTGCAATTCACATGTACCCACCACCCATACATACACACACATCATGGTCGACAAAAAAGGGTTGAATTACACCTCTGAAGGACTGTAGCTAAAAACCAAAAAAGGAGTGAAAGATGGATAGCATATATCAAAAGAATAGAAGAGTACCAAAAAGGCACTAACATTTCCCTTTCACTATCTTTTCAACCAGCCGTCTTACTTTTGTATTGACTATGCCACAAAGAATAGGAAAACCATAAGGAAAACAATCAATACAAAAAATATTTTCATCATTAGCCACCTGTTAGATGATATGCTGTTTAGGTACTTGAGCAAAGCCCCCTGCGCTCCCTCAACGTTCGCTAATGTGTCATCCATGTTCTCGTCGATCCTGGAAAGAGAACATTATAGTTAGGTTGTTCACAAATTGATTAAAAGTAATACAGAATGTGATATACAAGTAAAACTATTGTAGGATAATAGGGAAATTCTGAAACTTTTGACAGTTGCTACTAATTGATGGATTTTATCAATGAACCTATCTAGTCTGTACAACCCATTTACTCTCATGTGAGGATCAATAATATCTGAATAAGAATGCCCATAAGAACCAAGTTGTTGGGCCACCAAACTTTACAAGCACCAAGTGTTGTTGCCAATGTTGGGTGTAAACATGTAACTTATGCTAGCTAACAATAGGATCCTCAAGATGTTCCATGCCAAACCTCACCACAAAATAGGGGGAAATCACAAAAATGTTTACTCTAATGAACAAATGACTTCTCAAATAATCCCAAGAACCAAACCACGATGCTTAACTGCATAATTACAAGAAACGCAACAAAGCTGAAGCCAGGGAGTTTTAGACAGCCTTGAAAAACTATTTGGTCAAACTCATCAAATTTACTCATGACAATATACACTGTTAAGGCTGTCTAAAACTTCCAGGCTTCAGCTTTCCTGTGTTTCTTCTAATTATACAGTTATGCATAATATGATATAAAACACCTTGCATAGCAAGTAATATATCAGCAGCTAAAATAAATTTATATGCAAACTCACCCCCAACCCTGAAAATTTAAAATTACCATATATTTTAATTTTTTCTATATATTTTCTATTGAAAATCTGTTTTCGCCCCCTGGAATTTTATAAGTTTGCCTCCCCAAACATAAAATCCTACATCCGTCCTTGTTTATATGCATCCCATTGCCAAGGGGAATTGCTCCAGAGGAGGGAAAAAACAAAACAAAAAACCTGATAGCTATCTCTCCTTGCTGAGAAACCAGAGTAGCTAGCTGATTGAAGATGGTGCCAAGCTCATGAATAGTGGATTCTACATTTTGAAGAGCTTCAGCTCTGCTCTGCAAGTAAGTGTCTTGCAATGGAACCATTTGTTGTTGCTGCTGCTGTTGACCCTGGAGCAATGGCTGACTCTCCCCATCCATCTGCTTTCTGTATAATTAACCAGAAATGACTTTCTCAAACATAATACACAAAAATGTAGTTTCAATAGTGTACAACTTTTCAATTAATATGGTTCACACAATAAGTTAAAGCCGCTAGATTGATACAGAAGCAACAAATAATAGTTGAATCCAGAAGAGTTACAAGAAGAAATGATTTTTTTTCAAAAAAAAAGAATGCATAAAAAATACAAGCAAATGCAGAATATCGAACATGTGAGCACTGCACGTAGCAAAAAGAAAATAGAATTTTGTGGATATTCTGGAGGAATGACAATGCAATCGTTACAGGCTGCTAAAAAAGTAGAAGAGCAATGTTAAGAAATGTTCCATGGCATTCAGTGACAAATTATCATTAAATGATCTTGAAAGTTCCTAAATAAAATTCAAGACTTCTAAGAGCAAAATTGTTTTCTCCAGATAATCACGGTACATTACTAATACTAGCAGGAAAAAAAAAACACAAGGGCCATAGGTATATTACTACAAATCATCTAAGTAAGCTGTTACCTGGGAAACAACTGAAATGAAGATGCAGATCCATTAGCCCACTGAGGAAGCTTGTTTGAAGCTCCAGCTGCTGGTTTAATAGCCAGAGGGTGCTGCCGTGTAAAGGGATTTGGGGAATCCTTTGAAGCAGTGGAAGAAAATAATTGTCTTCTATTCTCATGAACCTTTAAATTCTGTCGAGCCAAATTCAATTACCATCAATTCTCAAGGGAATGAATTACCAATGACAACTATAAGGAATACTAGCAAAAAAAAACATACAAATAAACTCAGTGAACAGACTGAACAACTTTTACCCCTGTTCGCATTGTAAGGACATCTTTGAACTCTTTTGTGGTGCTCATCAAGCGATTCTTCAAGTCATCTACAACTGTGGTTGAATGACTAGATGTGTCACTGGAGATACCACCTTCATCTCTAGAATTGCAGAAAAGCTGAAGGTCTACCACAGCAGAATTAAGGGCAGTGATATCCTGTTTGATAACTGCAGTGAGCTCTTGGATTTCCATAGTAGGGTCATCAAAAACAGAAGTCCTCTTTGCCACTGTAAGGAAAATATAGATTTTTTTTTTACTTTTACATCATACTCTAAAACATATGTGGGACCATCATAACTACAATAACAACAACAATGATTATGAATTCCTACTAATATCAAATGTCTTTTCCTATATCTGTCACTGACAACTTGTGTACATTGGATTTCATCAAGTTCAGATACAATCTAAACCAACATCCAAGACAACCAAACAACAGCAATAATAAACTCCTAATAGTATCTAGTCAGCTAATTTTTCTCCTATATCTGTCATTAACAAATTGTGCACATTGAATTTCATCAATGCTTCAACAATACTCTAAATCAAGACAACCCCAATGGGTATATTCTCTACTACAGTTCTGATGGTCATATTCTAACATTTGTTAGTTCAATTTCTATCAAATCACAATCAGAAAATGGAGGACGCTACCATCATTGGATATCCAAATTAGAATTAGTATGCGAGTGATGGAGCATGGTAGAAGGAATCTTACACACACACACACACAAAGAGAGAGAGAGAGAGAGATACATACAGAAGTATGCGAATATACATATGGTATGCCTTACTTCACTACGGGAGAACATTTTTTCTGTCCTGTACCTAAGGCAATATAAGGGTTCTAGTTCCTAGAATGCACCTAGTGCCCTTAACATTACCAGACTTAATAAATGCCAGATATTCAAAAGCCCAAGATACAATCATTTTAATTATGGTGCAATCAGACAACAAATTACAAGAGGAAGACGAATAAAATAAATTAGGAAATTCATTTTAATTATAATTTGCCTTAGATAATGAGCTAATAGTAAACCAAAAATGCATTTCAATTAGTACAGCTTCAGTTAAAAACTCTTAAACTCTAAGCTATACTCCCTGTGAAGCTAAATTACAGGTTGCAAATAACCGATGCGTGGTTCATCTTTCTAAAAGCAATACGCACAAACCTCAGTCAATTATTGTGCAAATCCATTCATTAAAAATAAAAGAACAAAGACAATTATAATGCAATCGAAACAAGTATAAATACTTGCATTTTGCTAACTTAGATAGCTTCTGCGAGGTCTGATGAATCCCAAACCCAATCTTAGAAGCCCTCCTATTAAACTCCGATTGATGAGCAACCACAGATCTCTGTTCCTTCGCCCTCGACGTACTGCTGCTACTCGATTCATTTTGACCCGGCCCAGAAGAGAACGACTTCCTTAACCTCTCCGCCACGCTTTGAAATTCTTGCGTCCGATCCCTAAATGACGATTGTGCCACTTTCACATGCATTTTGTCCTATTGTTAAACCTCCTCGATCTTCAAATTGAAATCCCAAAATACCTAACCGAACATTTGATTCCCTGAGAGAAAAACAAATTTGAAACGTTTAAAAGTTCAATTTCCTCGATTTTCTTTGAAATTAGGCAAAAATATAAGGATATGAACATAGATTCTTACTTCAAATATGAGAGATCTCCAAACCCTAATCTACCAGATCGATCTTCATTTGGAAAAGAAACGCTGCCGTTTATACTGGAATCGAAGATCGATATCGATATGAATGCTTACAAATTGTGACTTTGTGAGGAGTACGCTTCTTTTTTATGACATGAATGCGATCGGAAGATGGTCGCCTTTTGAGAGAGAAAATTCCAGTACTTATACTTTTATGTATTGTGGTTCATTTTCGAATTTTTTACTTAAAAAAAATTAATATAAAAAATAATACATATTTACACGCGACCTATCCGCCATACTTGTGCTCGTTTTAACAGTTGCATTCTGTCTTATGTAATTATGTTTGTAGGGAAGGTAATAAAGTCGCTCATAATTGGGCTAATCGAGCCGATCTAGCTCAGTTAGTAGAGCGCAAGCCTTTTAATCTTGTGGTCGTGGGATCGAGTCTTACTGAGGGCAATTCATAATGGAGGTCTTCTACGGAAGCTGCTCTCAACCTAGCGTTGGGACAGCCTACTATCTTACATCCCCTTATCCCATTATATATGAGAATAGGATCAGCTAAAAGCTAATATAATTGGGCTAATCGAGCGTAAAATTCAAAAGTTTCTTTTTTCTTGAGATTGAATTATCGGCTTTCACGGCCATATAGAGGTGTGAAAAAAATAATTTTCTCATATAAAACATCTACCATATTATTTCTTAAATTAAGATTTTTTATTGGTCTGAAGATACCGTACACTCATAGGGCATTCTCAATTTACATGAAGAAGTCATGCAGTCGTAGAGTATTCTTTATTTACCTAAATATGTCATGCAGTTGTGGAGTCTTCATATTTAACTTGAAGACGCGTGAAGCACCTGACGTCTTTAGTTTGGTACTGCTCAATGCACCCTATATAGGGAAATAATTCCCGAAGTGGACTATATTGAGAATTAAAAAATCTCACTTATATTATCTCAACCATTTCTCCATGAATTATCTCGAGTTTATTGCTGCTGTAAAGAACGATTTGTTACCTTCCTGATTAATAGATAGTCGGATACTCATTTCCCTTATAGGATTCTAACCTTACATTGGTAGAAAGAGTTTTTAACGATGTCCGTAACTTAAAAGAAAATCATATTAAAGAGGATGGTTGTTTGATTTGCCTAATTTTAAAGTGAGCTTATTAATTTACTTTAATAAGTTAATACATTTATTTATAATTAAAATAAATTATTTTTAAAAATGATCGAATTTATAGGATTTTAAATACTGAGGGTTAAATTTATTAGATTATTTTAAAATATATTAAAATGATAAAATGTATGAATTTTAGGACTAAAACAATTTTTGTATCAAGCCACGTCACAATCTCCACTAAAATTTAAGGAAAATTTAGGTTTCGTAATCCAAATAACGACAAAACATAATGTTAAGTATAATTTTATAAAAAAAAATTAGATGATTAAAATAAAATAAAGTGAAATGTCGAATAAGTGGAAAATAATTCTAAGTTCTAATCATTTGATAATAAACATTCTTATCTTTACACACGTGAGGCTCGAACTCATAACCTCATGGAATGATAACATTCTTTTACCACCAATATCATTTAATTCGTTATTCTAGTTAGTCTTTTAAATACTCTTATTTTTTTTTGAAATAATCACCGATATCCGATCTATTGACAAACTAATTCAGATCGGGTACTACAGAGATGAGGGTGACCCTTCCAACCCAGTTTCGTAAATGTTAGGATTCGAACCCCTAAACTTAAGGGTTCAAAAATACTCTTAGGATGCGTTTGGTTCACGGAATGCAAGATTACCAATGGGAATAAAAGAGTACCAGAGAATATGATTATTGGGAATGTTGTATTTTGTGTTTGGTTGGTTTAGCAGGAATGTAAGATTACCGTGTTTGGTTAAATGAATAAAAGATTATTGGAATGTATATTTATCAAATTATCCTTATTATATATTTGTATAATATTACAAGTTGTAAAATATTTATATATTTTCTTTAAAAAATTAAATTCATAATATTTATATAATTTTTTTACAAAATTAAAAATATAAAAATGGTTTAATGAAAAAGTAAAATTTTATTTTAACCCCTGAACTTCATATAAAATTTTAATTATATATATTTTTTTTGTAAATCTAAAATAATTTAAGGATAAATTTGTAATTTAACTTTCGTAGAATTTTTATTATTCAATGACAGAAGAATGATATTTTTGAAAAAAAAATAAAATTTTAAGGGTATTTTAGTCCAAAACGGCGGTAATGTTACAATACCTAAGGGAATAAAGGTAATGACATTCCCGGTAATATACCTAAAAAAATCTACTATTGGTAATAAAACATTACCGGAAATGACATTCCCGACCAAACCAAACGGGGAAATGTAGATTTCATTCCCGATAAAATCTCACATTCCCCAATCCAAACGCCCTCTTAAGTATTACACCACTTATTTTAAAAATAATTTTAAATTTATTATTGATTATAATTATGAGAAAACGGATTCAAGTTCAACGGTTCAAAACTGTCTTGAAACCACTTTTTCCGGGAAAATTTCTCCTTTCTCCTTTCTCTAATATATAAATTTTCTTCTTCCTTTTCTTCATCTTTTGATCTCCCTGTTTTCTCTACCCCATCCTAAGGTGCATTTTACATTTATTTACCATCCTCCTTTGTTTATGAAGAAAATTAGGAAATTTTGAAAACAAATTTCAATTTTATGATAAAATTCGGAGATTGGTTTGATATTGTTGTCTCAGTTTTGTCAAAGCGATGTAATAAGCTTGAACATATTATTATCGTTATCATCATCATTATTGTTACGTTGATTTTTATTTAAATGATTGTATCGCTAACGGTTTGTGATGTTGGTTCTTTGCGAATGGAGGAGGGTGAAAGTTTGCCATTCATTTCTTTACGGAGAAAATGGGGAGTAAGAAGAAGGTAAAGGATGATGAAAGGATGGAGAGGACGATTCGGGGTCTTCTCAAACTCCCAGAGAACAAAAGATGCATCAACTGCAATATTTTGGTAAGTTTTTTGCTTAAATTTTTTGCTATTTGTTTACATTTTTCAAGCTCGATTATTTTCATGTAAGGAATCATCGTCTGCGTTAGACTTTAATTCTCATGGTTCTAATTTCCCCATAATGAGTTGATGAGATTCTAGCATTTAAGAAACCATAAAATAGCTCTGAAAATATTCCAAGATAAAGAGAATCGATTGCTGATGTTAGTCAATTGCTTTGAGATTTTTTTTAGAAAGAGCATTCAGTCAATTGCTTTGAATTTTTTTTAGAAAGAGCATTCGAATTCTTTAGTTCAGCATTTAAATTCCTACATGTTTGAGAATGAAAAATGATCCCCATAAGAAAATTGTTCTGACATTCGAACTATGGCATTTAATTCTATTTCTTAGGAAATTCATCCTTCAAGGAAGTCGTGTCTCAACTCGAAATCAACACACCTGTTCTTATACTCCAAGTGCATGAATATATATGGATAAAGTTAGAAAATTTAATTACAATATTAGAATTAAAAAAAAATACAATTTCTATAATTTGAAGAATACATCGATTGAAAGAAAATTCAACTATTAACATTAATTAATGCTTTCTTCTTGGCAGGGTCCCCAATATGTTTGTACCACTTTCTTGACTTTTGTTTGCACCAACTGCAGTGGAATGCAGTAAGTTTTACCTTATGTTGTGGCTTCTGTTACCTTATTTTCTTGAGTTAAATTTGCCCATATTATATATATACACTTTTTATGCCAATTACAATGAGGGTCTAATATGGTTTTGTAAATATTCCTAGTTCAGTTCATATTTTACAATATGGATTGTTGATTTGTTTCAGTCGGGAATTCACTCATCGAGTCAAATCAATATCATTGGGCAAATTTAGTGAAGAAGAAGTGACTTCTCTTCAAGCAGCAGGAAATGAGGTCAGCATGGATAGTTAGATAGTCATATGACAGTTTTTCTTTCTTTTCCGTTATCTAACTTATTTCTTAACTTTCGCAGCGGGCAAGACAAATTTACTTCAAAGCATGGGATCCTGTAGTTCATTCTTTTCCTGATGGCAGGTTATCTAACATCTTTCTTTTTCTTGTTTTGATGCTCCATTAGGAAAGTGCTCTTGATCAGTATATGTTTGCTTTCAGTAATCTTCCAAAGCTCCGAGATTTCATCAGGCAAGTCTATGTGGAAAGGAGATACGCTGGTGAGAGTGAGAGGGGTGACAGTCTTCCGAGTGTAAGATTGGTATCCCTTTAATGTCATATTTAACAAGATTGAATATCTGTGTTATTTATCTTTTAATTCTGCCTCTCTCTCTCCTTTTATACAGTTACGCAGGGCGAATTCTTCTGAAAGCAGGAAAGGGAGTGTGTTTAGTGGTAGATCCAGAGGTCCACTTCATGAAGATAAACGGGAATGGAGTTCAAATGAAGGGTTTAGTCCTCACGGAAGAGGTGCTGTTAGAGTTTTCTATAAGGAGGGAAGAAGTCCTCGATATCCTGAAGAAAATTCAAGATTTGGATGTGGCCGTAGAAATTCTATGCGCATCGAGATTGTTGACAACAGGCTCAGACCTGAGGATACTAGAAGTGTCGGGAAACAAGGTAAGCCGGACTTTTCACATAGAGAACCTGTGAGACGAAGCCAGTCATTTAACCTAGAATTAGAGAGGTCTGGTTCTCCAGTGGAGCAGCCAGTTAGAGATAACTTGGGGGAGACTGCTTCTGCCATTCAGGTGGGTGAACATTCAAATGAAAATGCAGGAAGGGATCCTGGTGGTTCTGCTGAAAACCAGGTGAAACTGTTGCTTCTACTTTTCCATTTATGATTAAACTATGGCTCTAAGAAATACAACTGGTTTCTTAAACGCAAGTGCACCATATGAATCAACCGCATATGTAGCGACTGCTTAGAAACTATGCCAGGCCCTTAGTATTCCTCGAACTAGAGTTTCTTCAATTCCTCTCAAAAGAGAATTTTTTTTTTTTTAATTCGGATATGAAACCTGAGTAGGATTTCATGTGCATATTTGAACCATTTACTGAGTATTGCTTAATACATTCAATAGATTTTTAATGAACTGGTTTCGTAGATTAAGTTTTTAAATTTTACTTGTGAGATGGGCCGAAAAAAGTTATGAGAAGCTGTCAATTTTGTTACACCCTATTGTTAGTTCAGCAGTTTACCGTACTGTATTTAGATGTAGCTCTTGAGAACATTCTTATGCACTCTATCTCTTATTTTTTTCACTTCACAGAAGAATGCATCACCTGGTTTTGTGGAAAGTTTGATCGATTTCAGTATGGATTCTGAGCCGTCCAATGAGTTGGCTGCACCGAATTTGCAAGTGCCTCCATCAAATGATGGTGGTAGACAGTCCTCAGATGACTTCTCTTCAAAGGGAAAAGCACCTCCTGCCTCTAAGCCAAATTATTTGGAGGCTTTGCTCTTTAATCTGTCAGACTTATCTGTGGTACCTGTTGATAATGTCTCTGCAGCACCAGATACCACAAGTACTCCATCAACTGCACCCGGACAGAACATTTCATTAGATGGTTTTTCTACAGCAACATCTGCACCACAATTTTTGGCATTGACAAGTAAGGATGATTCTTCAACAGTTCCACAGGTTGTAAATATCCAACAATGCTCTTTCAATCCAGGCTTTCAAGCAACAACTGATGTTAATGGTGACTACAAGGTCAAAGCTTCTGAGGGGAATAGCTTTCCCAACACGAAACAAGATCAGCTTTCTCTGTTCTCTGCTTCTGATAATAACTTTTCTACACATCCATATACTCAAGCAGTTGAAGAATTAAATAGCCAGGTTATCATTGGAGTTGATCGGAAGTTGTTGGAAACTAATTATACATAATGATATATCCTGTATTTTAGTAAAATGTGGGCTGACTGAACCCCATTTCACTTGCTAAACCTATTGCTTTGTGTTGATATTTGCAGCATGGTACTTCATTCCTGATGCATAATTCTCAACAATTGACCAATGTATCTACTCCACAGTCATCTCAAGCCACCTCAACATCTGCTATAGTAACAACATATGGAGTTGGAGTGCAGCCTCCAGCAGAAACAAAATCTAACGAAAGAAAGGAACTTCCACAGGTGATGCTTTTGCCTTCGGCTTTCTTGGATATTCATGAACCCTCTTGACAATATATTCTGCTTTCTCAGCAGGATCTCTTTACAGCAAGCTATGGATTAGCCCCTGCAGCATTTCCGAGTTGGCAAAATGCCCTACCATATGGAATGGGATATGGCTTGCAATATTATCCTAATGCAATGGTATCTTGTGCTCTTGGAACTTCGAATTCTGTAACTGCTACGTTAATTCTTGCTTGTATATTGGAGATTTTAAACTGTACCTATCGGTTCACAGCATGCGGCAGCATTCCCAAATACTGTAAAGACAAATCCATTTGATAGCGATACGACTCCAGCAAAAGTCCCAGAAGTACACATCCCATACAACTTATTGCTCACAATTACATTGCTTTCGTTTATCTTTTAAAAACTAAAAGTTGCCTCTGCTCCACTTTCCTTCTTTTAGTTGCCTTAACTAACTATTATTTATTTAGTTGATGATTAACTTCTCATGAATATAACAATAGTTTTACATAACAAAAGCTTATTGACAGTTTCAGGATCCGCTAACATGGCTTCCGTTTTTCAAACAGTACTAATAACTTTTGTATTTGTGCACTTGCTCTAAACTTCATTTGTTAACCGTGATATGTTCTGTAGTTTCCTTCAATGGAATCTTATCTAGGAGCCCTCCCTAGCGTCCAAGGTCCGACTGCCATGTCTCATGCATCCGGTTTGAACACCTATTCTTCAGGAACGGTGTATCATTCATCATATACTGCATCATCTCCAATGACTATAGGGTCACCTTTCATATCAGCTATGCCTTCTTGTAAATTCACTTCTCTTCTAATTATGCTAAAATTTAATATTAATATGGTTATTCTGATGCTTATTATGATTTTTATGATGTTAGCAGCATGCATGGGAGATCAATCACACATTCCTTTGCAACATTCGAGGTGACATTTTAATTTTTCTATTTTATATTCTCTACATGCATCACATAGTATGAAGACAAAATTTTGCATTTAGTCAAGCGTATAAGAAATGTTTTGTATATTATGAACTTTTCTGGGTAAGTTTTTGTATAATATCATTGCAGGCTACAAGGAAACAGTGGCTTTGATGGTAGTAACTTTATATTGAGCACCTCGAGTATAGATCAGAGACCTACGAGTGAACTTTCGGCACCTCCGAACTCCTTTCGTACAAGAAATCCATTCGGATAAAGGAATAAGTTGATGCTCCAAAATTCCAATGCAGAATCAAAGATAATCCGAACAAAGCTTGAAATCGACATTTCGGGACCAATACATTAGTAGAATCCTCTCAGCAAAATTTATCATTGTCCTTACTTTTCTTCTTCTTTCCTGCTTGTTTTGATTCCCCTCCTTTATCCTTCTCTTTAGGTGAGTTGTGCATTTTTTTATCTTCTGTAATGTAATCTCCATTCTGTATACATAAACATTACAATTCCTGCAATCCAGTAAGGAAATTCTGCATCTGTGGCTTCTCTGGTCTCGAGAAGTAAACGATCAGAAACAGAATAATCGCAAATTCCAGACAAAAAGGAAGAAGAAAGAATCTTTAAAAACACTAATAGTAAGGAAATTCGATTGAATATCATACAGTTATTCATTTCAAGGCACACATAGTGCCCTTAGCTTAAGAAGCACATGCACTAGTATTCCACAAACAAAACCAAGTGCTGCACTTGACCCTACAACTGAAACCGCAGCACATATTAACATGAAAAATGACTCCTCCTTCGAATTCATGTCCCTGCAAGTCATTGCTAGTTCGATCCCTGCAAACAAGAGTAAAACACCCAAGATGCCTACCGGCTACCGGAAACTGGTGCACTATTGTCACCAAAGAAGTTCCTAATATCAAACCTAATATCAACTTGGCTGCACCAAGAATGGCTACACACCCGCCGCTCCTGCCCCCAAACTTGTACTGCCCAGCTAGCCCGCCTGCACCATGGCAGCATGGCATGGCATCAAACCAGCATCCTACTAAGTTCATTAGCCCCACGGTTACTGAAACTGAGGTGGCCGAGAACTCCCTTCCTGGAAAAAGATCCGACAACAACTTGCAGACTGCAATCACCGAGTTTAGTACCGATAAAGGCAGTTGAGGAATTGTCCCCTTGATAAATCCTTCCTTCCATGAATGACCATGTATTTTCACAACCTCCATAACCGAAGGTCCAAACTTGATGTTATTCACCACTTTAGGCCTCCTTTGAATGCCAACACTAATCCCGACACGAAAGCGAAGAAAGTTGAAGGGATGGTAGCCATGATTTTCCTCATTCTTTTTCTTCTAACATTCCTTTCTTCGTCAACATTAGTCTCACTTTGATTTCTTTCTTGACCTGCACCATTGACAACAATTATGAAACAAGCACAAAAAAGCGTAAACCATAGAGTAGTAGCTAGGATCGTGGGGCCAAGAACCTCAGTACCATGTTTATTTGCTCCGGAAGCTGCTCTTAGGGATAAGCCGTATGGAGCGGCGGAGCAACTTGTGTATGCGGAGAATCCAGCCATTTACAAAGCAACAAGCTTCCGTCAATATTTCCCGTATTACAAGTCCAATGGAAGAGATGGCAGACTAGTCCTTCCTCATTTTAAGATGTAGTTTCCAAGCGTTAAACTGTCATATCTGGCATTGATTAAGTATTATTATTTCGGCCTAGTGCTTTAGATCTCATTTTCATTAAATTATTCAGATTATAAGGTAATATTTGTTCAAAATATTTCTTAGGTTATTATTAATATATATACAGATGTAATTATTTGAATCTAAAATCTTTGAAAAGAACAATACGCATTTTTACCACTTAAATCATTTATAAGTTAGTGGGTGATATTATTATTTTTTATATAAATTTAAATATTATAGATTCAAATAATTTGTGGGTTTAGTTTGTTATTTCAGTTTCAAATATGAATAATTAAATATACAAAATCAAATAGTTGTGATTACAAAGGATAGTAAGATGAACACAAAGCTGTATTTATTGTACTTATTAATATACAAATCGCCATTAATATGGTACTTATTAATATACAAATTGGCTTTTGATGTCTGCCTTGCTTTGTGGTTAAACACCCTTCAACTGTACTCAAAATACACCACTCAGAAAGCCCCTGCAACAGCAACATTTGGATCGTTCAACATCAGGAGAGAAACCACAGTTAATGTAACGAGCGAGCATTCGTGTCGAGCTTACCAAAATCCGGACGCTTTCTTATCTTTGTTTCTGTAAAGCGAAAACCCGAATGAGATGATCACATTCGAGAGATTTAAAAAACAACACAAGAATTTACAGCCATTTCTAATGTTTACAGACGAATACCTTGGTTTTCTGAGGAACGCATCGTTGATCTCATCGATGGTCGGCCTTTCTGTAAAAGTCGACAACGGAACATACTTCTCCTTCCCTGATGGTTCGTCCACCCTCTTGTACAGTTCGTAACCATACGGGTATGTCATCCTGAAATCACGATGTGATAGTACTTTACAAAGGCTAATTCACTATAATTTCAACAGATGAAATGTTTGGACATAGGTAATGCCTCCGATGTTTCGTAGCGAACGAGAACGACATTGTTTATGCAATAACAAAGAGAATAAATCAACTCAGACTCTCAGAGAATGGAAGATTGCATTTTCGATCATCAGTTGCATCGGCGAAATATCTACATTAAGCAACATGTTCTTGTCCTTTGTCATGCAATTTTACGGATCTCGGAAAATGATAACCTATACCTTATTGCACCCATGATTGGATATTGGGTTCCGGCATAATAAAGAAGCCTGAAAAAGTAGCAACTCTCGAAGGAAGCTGCATACTCCAGTCTCTTATCTCGACCCATCGTCTGTAACGAAAATATACAGTTAGGAACTCAGAAGGTGCATGTTAACATAAGTGGGTAAAGAAATGTCTAATTAAATGTTTTATGCTACTATAATAACAATTGGTTACTTTAAAGAATTTTAAATAATATTTCCTTTTATATCCGAAAGCGTACTCGTAAAATTTAAATTTAAAACGAATGACTTTGAAGAAAGGTTAACTTACTTGCATAATGCCACTTGAACCAGGCAGATCCTATCCCAGAGAAATTCAAAACTAAACAGGTCAGAAATAGAAGTGAATACCGCTTACACAATACCAAAAACGTAGCAAGTTGAGTTCACCGAGATGGATCTTTTTCCGTGATAAAGCCGAAAACGGAACAAGGCATTTTCCAATGAGAAAGGAGATTTCATCTTTGATTACATTGTGTAAGCATCATTAATTTAACTTAGGAGTGAGTTTGATATATGAACCCAACCTTGAGTCTGGGATTGATGAGTATAACCGGACGTTTTCCAGCAGCATCGGTCATCGCTTTTAAATCCTTCAAATTTAGGAGATTGGTTAGAAACAAAAGTGTCACGTATAAGGCTCTTAGAACAGCATACTAATATAGATTCTTACATCTATAATGCAATTACCAACGGCATTTTGAGGTGCCACTAAGATGAACATATCATCTTCTTCACCAACCTCCCTGGCACCTGTCGATGCAAATAAAGCAAACATTAAAAAGAGAATCATATCATCATGCAAGTTGTAGAATGATACTCGAACTGATCCGCAAATCTGTCTTATCTAACCATGCTTGATATTTCACAAAGCTACTGTTGAAGTGATTGACATAAATTTTACAAATTTAACAGATCTATCCAGATACGTTCATCTCTGTAATAGTCAAGGCAGTTCAACGATAAACACGATACATATGAGATGGTAGTACTTCACATAACTTTGGCATTAGCAAGCAGTATCAGAAAATCCACAGAAATATTTTCTCCGAAATTGTTCCATACCTATTGAACCAATATTGATAAATGTTCCCATAGCACCATAATTACCCCAATCCATGAATTCCAAGATCTTCCGGGTACCAGCAAGTTGTAGGGGCATTCCTGCAAGTGCACCCTGTCCCATAGAGCCTTGTACACAAACCTGAAAGAAGAATTGTTGGAAATTCTGGACAAATACAAGAAGTGTTTCCGGAAATATATCATTAACTACTAATAGTACCTTCACACGTTTTCCATCATCAGCAAACAAGAGAGCAATTTCTCGAACTAGCTCCATTAACGTACCTATACGGTAAACATCCTGTCCATCATAAGATTGGTTAGCCCTAAAGTAACTTACCGGGAAAATATGAGAGCAAAAGAAATAATGATAATCTCTCACCATTTCTGGATTCAGCTCTGGAATATTAATCTCCACCTGTTGATATATATAAAAAAAAGAATAAAAAACTAATCAGACTTGCTAAATCTTGTGGCCAAAACCATGACCGTGGTGCCATCTATAGTCATAATTAATTTTTCCGCATCTTCACTAAATGGAGAATTAGACCTTAGTTTTTCTTTTTGCGAAGAGAATAAGATTCAGTTAAACATAAAAAATAAAGTTATAATCTTGATTCAGAAAGACAGTGAAATTTGAAGGAAAAAAACCCTACCATTCATGTGCTAGTCATAAAAGTTGCTTTGATTTCTACAGCAGGGCAATTCAATTCAACTAAATCAAGTACCAGTATCTGACCTTCAATCGAGTTCTTCCATCATTTACAGCTCTCTGTGTGGCTTGTAGCACATCATCATAGAAATAATTCCGGATTTCTCTAGAATGAGGAATATTATTCAATCTAGTTGGAATTCCTCTCCATTTTTCCTGTCAAAAGCTTAAGAAAGTAAGAATAAAACTGAAACTTCGAGTGAAAATGATTCTTTTTATTTCCTGCCTTTGAATAAGCTACACACAGGATAGTCCTCTATTTCCTTTAACCTTCCTTACCACGGTGAAGGCAGGATTTTACTCTAAGGTCTTTATACAGTAAGAAAAGAACAAATATACTAAACTAATTGACACCTTTGTTAGATTGAAAGAGTTTGGATATAGAAAAGTTGATAATGACTACATAAATTGTACAACTCTTTACCTGGTTCGGAGATGCCTGATCTAAACGGCTCTCGGTTTGAAGCACTGGCTTTACTGAAACCAAGAAGGAACCAGGAAGAAGTCAAAATAGATAACTGAAGCTATAGTTAAGTGCAGAAAGTACAAGTCGGCTCAAAATGAAGATACTTCGTAAATGTGATAATCATTATGCAATAGACAAACAGTAGAATGAAGTTAAAAAAGTCGTGAAAGTGTCCCCAAATAAGAAATTCAATAATCTACAAACAAACCTTCAAAAAAATCTGTAAAAAAAAAAAGCTTTTAAATATTGCACAAAATTTCAGTTCCTGAATAGCCTTCGATAAAGCTTAATAAGAATAGGAATTTTTTTTATCAGTACACCAAGACAGTGCAAAGTAAGACCATTACCCTCCATAACTTGAAATTCATTTCCACTTACCTGATTTTGTTGTTTTATCCTTCTGCAGTTGAGATAATAACAAGGAATCTATATCTTTGAAAACTGCTTCTTTTGGACGGCTTCCATCAATCTTTGAGGGGAAAATTCACACAAATATGATACAAGTAAGAAGAAATAGGACTAGAGAAAGCATTTTAATCTACCAAACCTTGTTCATTATGCTTTTGTAAGTAGATGAGATTGCTGCAGCATTTTGGTTGTATATTTCTAGTCGTGACTTCACCTAAATAACAAATTAAAAAAAGGAAGGGGGGAATATTAGGCAGCTAACACAGAGAACACGGTAAATTACATAGCATGAAATGAAGCAAACATTTATTAGACAAAAAATGGTACATGCGGCTTTCCCCCCATACTTCACCATATCTCTTCTTTCCTTTGGTAAGAGAGATAGATGGAAGGGACAACGTCCTTGCAGACCCTCCAATGAGTTACATTAGCTTCAAGTAACTTGGGGGCATAGAAGAAATGATAGACATTGCAACAGCATGCACAATTCTGATCAGTAACTAAGTACTTTGAAAGCTCAATTCACTGGAAAATTCTGCAGGTCATGCCGTTATGTAATGAAGGCTGAACTACTGACATGTCGTTTTACTTCCGCATAGGTTTATTATGATATGTTTCACAGTCAAGCTCCATGTAGGGCCGTCCAGGTTTGTCTAGTTTAAAATCAAGATATAAGATTTGAATTTTCTCCATGTCCAATTAGTACTTTGAAATGGTCATGTGTATATCACCATCAGTACAGCCTGTTATTAGTTTTTAAATTAGTGCCATGCAAGAAGATGAACCCTAAGCCAGATGTATTGTTAAAATGCAAATGTATCTGCCATGTTACATTTCTGATGTATTGTTAAAATGCAAATGTATCTGCCATGTTACATTTCACAGTTTCACACATCTTGAACCTCTGTATCTAAGCCTATGAAAAGCAACATAATAAAAGAATATAAATAATAACGGCATAATAGAATCATACTTTCTCTTCTGTGTCATCAGCACGGGTAACCAGTCTTGCTTTAATTTCTTCTGAGTTGGGAGGGAAATGTTTCATATGGTAAATTTTCCCAGTCACTGGGTCTAGCCTTCTACCAACACATCTGTCGATTAGAATTTCATCAGGAACCTGAATGTTAAGAAATAAAATAAATGTAAAAAGCATGTTTTTAAGCCATATCTGTCTACTTAAACTGAAAACGAAAGACATAGATGCATTAAATTGAGATCTTATGCACATATATAGCCCCTTTATGAGCACAATTTATTACCAGTCTCATTTGATTGCCAAGTAACAACATACATGTGTTCGTGTGGAAGGAGGCTGTAAAATATCACTTTACATAGAATCAAAGATTTTCAAGTACTATGATGGAAGTCTATGTTGCTTGGATGTGGGTGTAAATGTTGGACTTAGGTATGTGTCTAGCACGGTACCATTTGAGTTTCTCTTTCAATCTTTTACCCCTAAATTCTCTGTTCCTAGGCTGTTGTCCAGAGCCTTACGGTGATTAATATACTAGGAAACTTTCTATTGAGAAGATAAGCAAAACCAACATAAGCATATAAGATACATACATCTAATACAATGTAGATATCAGGTCTAATTTTCAATTCTTCCAAACTTTGTGCCTGGGCAAAACTCCTTGGGAATCCATCAAGAAGCCATCCTTTCTCTTTAGCATCTGGACGTGATAATCTGGCTGTAACCATCTGTAAAATGAAAAAGAAATATTTGATATCTTCAGCATTTAAGGAACGAAAGGATAAAGAATAATATGATTGAAGAAGGAAGGTTGATGTCGTACAGCCGTTACAATTTCATCAGGAACCAGGCGCCCAATATTCATGAATTCTTTCGCTTTATTTCCAATTTCAGTTCCGGATGATACTTCTGCTCTTAAAAGATCCCCTGTTGATATATGCACCAACCCGAACTGCCAAAATGAAGAACATAGAATAACCATTTACAGGGAGAGATCAAGGCATATGAAGAATTTCTTCAACAAGATCAACCATCAATAGGAAACTCATGTTATACTATATATATCATGTTTTTTTTTCCATTTAAGCATAACAAATTTTACTATTGAATACTATTAAGGATCCAAACCCTGAAAAGAAAATCAAATTCAACCTTCATAAAATTAAAACTCGTAACCATTAGAATAGACAAGGAGTGCAAAGCAATCAGAGGAGTTATAAACATGTGAATATTTAATTCCTTAGCATCATAATAATTAAGAATATTGTACTATACAACCTACAACAAATATTACACAGATTTTTATTGAAACACCAATCGAAATATAGAAAATTAAGTAAAATTAAGCATAAAATCAGTTACCTTCTGTACAATTAACTCACACTGGGTGCCTTTACCTGATGCTGGGGCACCTGATATCATCACTTTCAAATGTTCACTCTTCGAACAACTCACCCTCAATCCCTGCACAGAAAGAAAAAAAAAAAGAGTAGAGGAAAGAAAATGAACAGTTTAATATCTTTAAAACCAAACAAAAGAACCCATTTCTGTGAAGTGAAAAACCTTGGGTTTTGGGCTAATCCTGAGATGGGTTTTGCCATGGAGACGAAGAGTGAGAGACGAGTAAGAAGAAGAGAAAGAAATAGAAGATGGGTTGAGAGAGGGAGTTGCAGAGGCATTGTAATTGGTAAGCGGATGAAGTGAAGTAGCTGTACAACATGAAGAAGAACAAGTAGCCAACATTTTTTTTGCTGCTGCTTTGACAAGTGAAACACAGAATGAAATGAAGTTGAATTATAGTTGCTTGATACTAACGGATCAATGGACACCATAGGTTTTTCCATTTTTTTTATATATATAAATATATATGATATATTATTTGCTTAAAATATAATTTTTAAGGTTTTTTTTTTAAGATGTAAGATTTTCTTTATTTTTTAATCTTTAAAATGTGTTGATATTGATTTATTTACGATATGAAGTATATATTCCTTCATAAAATTTACACACACAAGTACTCTACTATATCAATAAAAATTCATTAAGTTCTACTAGTATAAAGATTTGTGTCCAAATGTAATCAGATAATTTTTCTAAAATTATATAATATTTTATATAATATTTAAAATAATCCAAAAAATCATTAAAATATAATAAAAATTATAAATATATTAAATTATTATAAACTAAATAAAATAGTATATAATACTAGAAACTAATAATAAAAAATTATTTTTCATGATTATAAGTTGCATCCTATGTTTTTTTATTTATTTTAGCTGTCTTTAATTTATTTTTTTACAACCATGTTAACTATGTATTTTTCTCTATACAGTTTTGAATTGTTTTAAAGTATTTTTTATGATTACGAAGTAGTATTGGTTTTAAATACTCTTAATCATTTGACAGTGAACGTTCAATCACCTTATTGTAGTTCACTGGTGTTCGAAATCGTGATCTCAAAGAACAACAACAATTCCTTTAACCACTGAGGTATAATTTTTATTTTTAATTCTCGAGAATGTTGTAAGATTTTTGTGGTTGAAGATTAGTTTTTTTTTTGTAAATTTTTAAGAAATTGCACATTTTTAAAATTTTATCATTTTTCTTTTTTATAATTTCTTAATAACTTTCCTCAAAATTTTGGAAAATTTATATAATTTTTAAAAAACTTGAAAATTTTATATTACTCCATATATATTGTGAATTTTAATAATTAAAATATTAAAAAATCTATAATATTTTTTAACTATGAACGGACCTTAGGCTGGATCAAGTTGCAGCCCAAACTTTTTCTAGTTTTCTTGGCCAAGCTTTTTTTTTGGTCCGACATGCAGGTTAAAATTCACTATTTATCTAATATTAAAAAAAAGTAAAATCATTCTAGCACTGATATATTTCACAATTAATTTTTTTTAAAGAATCAACTAATTTTATTCGAATAAAAAAATATCTCAAATTACAATTTATTCTAAATAAAAAATATCTTAAATTACAATAAAGATTTAGTAAATTAAACACATAATTATAATTTTTTTTCTATAATCATTAAAACAAAACTACTAATTTAATATCACATAAGGATCATATAATGAAATATTAAATATAATCAAGAAACTCGAACAAAAATAAATACAAAAAGATCTGATTGCATAGGCAAACAAACCATAAAAGGAAATCAAACTATTGAAAGACCACAAACAAACCACAAATCAAAATCGAGTGACGTGAAAAGTTATCCACAAACACAAATCGGGTATCCAATTTCAATATGATGGTCCAAAATAAGGAAGACCAACAAGATATCATATAAGCGTCATATTGTTCAGTCATGACGATATCAAATCAATCCTTGGAAGAAGAAAAAATATAAATGAAAAAACGGTCAAACAACAAAAAAATGTCAAAAAGCATAAGAATATATTTCATAAAGACAGATGAAAATATGATAATATATCATACAAGCATACTTGTTCAAAATAAGAAAAAAAACTCGAACAAAAATAGATACAAAAAGATCTGATTACATCGGCAAACAAACCATAAAAGGAAATCAAACTATTGAAAGACCACTAACAAACCACAAATCAAAATCAAGCAACATGAAAAGTTATCCACAAAAGCAAATCGAGTATCCAAATCTAATCTGAGAATCCAAAATAGAAAATATCAACAAAATATCATACAAGTGTTATATTATTCATTCAGTCATGATGATATCAAATCAATCCTTAGAAGAAAAAAAGATAAACGAAAAAACGGTCAAACAACAAAAAAACATGTCAAAAAGCATAAGAAAATATTTCATAAAAACAGATGAAAATATGTCATACAGACAGACTTGTTCAAAATAATAAAAAAATAAAGATACGATATAAAAAAGAAAAAGATAATAAAAAGTATCGACGATTGGCAACCAATATTAAAATTAGTACCACCGCCTATCAATAAAGACATGGAAAAAAAAATAAGCGGCACACCTATGAAAGAGCACGTTTCCCTTCCACTTATTTCACAATTAAATCTAAATACATATGGCATTTTAATTAGCATGAATAACGGATGATAAAATAGTAATTATGCCATAGCAAAGTTTACCAACACAACCCAAATGCCAAATCGGCCAACACATTCAGAATGCAAATCTATATAACAAAGAATTAAGTTAAACTTGGAAATTATTATTATTATTAATACATTAAGATGCCTAAAAAAGGTAACAGATGACTGACTGATGTAAGGGTTGAATTCTTTCCTCAAAACACTCTTCAGTGTGCCATTTTTTCTGTGTTTGGAGAAGAACCTTCTTCAATCCAGCTTTACCGAAGAGAATAGATAATGCACGAACCAGAAAGAAGAAAGGAACCCGACGGTGCCGGTTGCAAACATGATTGCGAGAACCATGAAGAGAGAATACCCCAAGTAGAGAGTAGCCGAGACCGGTCCGCTCAAGCTCTTCAGATCGAAGATGAGATAGTTTATGGAGTACATGAAGATGTAGATGGCGACCGAACCGGATGCAAAGAACGATTTCCACCACCATTTCCAGTCCTCCACGCAGAGATGCATGTAAGTTAGCACCAACGATACTTCGGCACAAACCACGACTAGTAAGATCAGAACAATGAATAGAAACCCAAAGACGTAGTAAACTCGTCCCATCCAGATGCTAGACATGATGAAGAAAAGCTCGATGAAAAGGGTACCGAAAGGTAGAGTCCCTGCGCCGAGAACTAACAGCCAAGATGGGTACCTTTGAGCCGGGATTTCCCGGGGGATCTGGTTTGTTCGAACAGGGTATTCGATATGAGGTGCCTTAGCCCCAAAGTATCCACCAATTAGGGTGAGTGGAACCGAGATACAGAACCAAAGTAAAAGTAGAATAACAAAGAGAGAAAATGGAATAGCTCCTGTGCTGTGACTTCCCCACAACAGGAAATTCAAAACGGTTAGAATCGAGAAGGCGATACCAGGGAAGAAACAAGCAGCCTTCCAAGCAACGGAAATCCATCCTTTGGGATCGCCAAAGCCTATTGTTCTCCAAAGACGAACTGCGACGTAGCCCGCTGCAATACCGAGAATCATGTAGATAAATAGCATACCTGTAATGAGAGTTCCACGGGATGCTGGAGACATAAATCCAAGAGCAGCAAACAATATTGTCACAATTGCCATCCCAAGGAGCTGAACTCCATCCCCAACCATAATACACAAAAAATCTGGATTGGACGGCGCACGGAAAACATCCCCAACAACTAGCTTCCAACCAGATAACTCCTCGTTCACCATTGCTTGGGCCTCCTTATCAAGCTCTTCGTACCGGGTCAGATCCCGCCTAACAGTCCTTAAGAAGATTACAAGGACTATACCAGCGAGGAAAGTGATCACCATGAGAGAATTCAAGATCGAGAACCAATGGACTTTGGCTCCCTCCATCTTCAAATAAGCATCCCAACGAGATGGCCACTTGGTATCACTCTCCTCAAAAGTAACTTCATAGGTGAAGACAATCGGCTCACCTTCCTTGATGGGCTTCGACACAGTAATCGGCTCACATTTAATTAGAGAGGGGTATTTTTCATACATTTTCAAGTTATTAACCAAGTTACCATCATGCATGACACTGCAAGGAACCACCTCAAAGCCAACGACCATATAACCAGGAACGTCCGATCCCTTGTTGCCGACAGTGGGGATAACCTCCGCACCATCCACAGTCCCCATAACACGTGCCACATTAGGTTCTTCATACTTATGAACAAGCACCTTAAATTTCAAATGATTAAACACATAATACACATCCTGAATCTTAACACCAACCGGATACCCAGTCCACCTCAACATAAAACCCTCTGTTATCGTATACCTTATCGCAGGCAAATTATCGAGAATCAAGTTAACTTGATACATCTCATCAATCCTTTTCGTTAACAACTTAAAATCATCAGACGATAGCTTACCGGTTTGACACAAGAAGATCTCAGATTCGTTAGTGTACATCTTAAACTTATATGGCGAGTTCTCGATCCGATCTCCCATGAGAAGCTCACCCAGATTCTCAGCACTATCCTTAACACCCTCTAAAGGCTTACAAAAGGGTAAACTGTAATAGCTAAAGGGCATTTCAGTGTCAATGGAAGTAAGGGAGTTCACTTTGACAGATAAAGAATTCCCAACCACATGCTTCAGAGGGTAACTACCAGGCAAATAAAACCCATATCCAGATTGAAAAATCAAGCAGATTGTTAATACCCAGATCCCGAAATTGCCCATTATTCCGAATTTTGCCAGATCTGAACAGCAACGATTTAAGTGAATTTCGATCTGGGTTTTGACTAAACAATGGGAATAGCAAAAATCTAGCAATGTTTATAACAATGAAGAAATTATGTAAAAAAAATCTAGAGGATATTTGGGAGTAGAATTAGAGTTACCTGATGAGAGAACTAGGCGAAGATCCTCTATGAGAAAACTTGAAGTCCAAGCATAGAGAGATCTTCAAATTGTTTCGATTTTTTCCCCGTTTCCAATGAAACTGAAGTTTGGAGAGGAAGAAAGTGGCAATGGCGGGTCTTATATTATTGCCGCTCTAACGATCACCGACACCATATTTAGAGTTCTTTCTTTTTGGAAGCTTTCTTGAATAATAATTCACGTTTTTTGTTTTTATTTAAAAAAAATATATCAATTCTCAATTAAATATTAAACATTATTAATTTGCTGTAATCTAATATTTTTAATAATAAATTTTCTAATATTATGCAGCTAC